AGAACTGCCCCATAGGATTTCCAAGGAGTGACTGGTGGATTTGAACTGCCAGCCTTTTGGTTAGCATCATTAGGGAGCCTATTAAAGAATACTGCTGCCTGGTTGTACCGAACACCAGTTAAATCAGAGTCTCTGGAGGTGGGGCCTAGGTATTGGTAATTTTAAAGAGCCTGGTGAGCCTAATGAACAGCCATAGTTGAAAACCAATATACTAGCATTTTGATCAGTCTTTAAGCCATGCTTCTGTCTTTGTTTAAAGAAACTGTCTTTGTCTCATAGTTTTGCTGTAAGCTTTTCATTTGGAAGAATATATATAGTTATATTCCTAAAGAAGCTGATGGAAATTGAAGGAATCAGTTCTCATAGTGACATCTTGAAGTGGCTGCTGGGTTGATGATTATCCACTGAGTTCAAAATGGTAAATAAGCTCTGTGGGGATTTTTCCAAAGAAAACTTTCTGGTCACAATTCAACACTTACTCCCTACTATGGGATGGCAGCCACTGTAATCACATGTTGATTTAACCTATCCAAGCTCAGGGACATGGAGAACGAAGAAATCACCTAGATAATCCAAGGCTTAAGCACAAGCTACCAATATAGGAGGAGGTTGACTTTTTGGTGTATAATTTTTTTGGCTGGCCAACTGCTTTATTTGTATTCTCCAGAATTTTGATTTTTATTCCTCATCTACCTTTGGGAAATACTGTAAAGCATTTCTATTCCTATTTCTCTTTCTCCCATAAACTTGGGTTCTTGCATATAAACATGAGCAGCAGGTGTTGACACGGAACAGCGGACTTTGAAGGGCAGACTTATTTTCTTTCAACCCAAACGCTCCAGATGGACTGTTTCTGTTTCCTGTAGAATTCTGGAGCCCTTCACTGTACGTGTTGCTGGACAGGCCAGATTTTAGTGTCACATCTGCTGAGCCCCACTGAGAAAGTAAAATGAATAATTTGGGAAAAATTCCCATGTTAGTTGACACATGAGTGACACTGGTGACATTGGTCCCCAGTCTCTTCTTTGCATTGTTCATGAGCTTGCTGTATTATTCTGCTCCACTTTGCAAGTGGAGATTTGCTCATTAAAATTATAGGAAAGAAGTGGATATAGTCATACAAATTGATTTTATTTATAGTAAAATTAAGAAATGACAGTAAATGAGATAGTTATCTAAGCTGTCCCATTGATATTCTTAGTTATCCAAGCTTTCCCTTTGGTAGTCTTAGTTATCCATGTGAGGTATTTCTGTGAGAGAAGAACATAGACACCAGGTCCTTGAGGGTCTCCACATTTCTTTGGAAGGCCAAAGGAAGTGATTCCTCTGAAAATACCGTCACATATCAAAGGGCTTCCAGAATCTCCCTGGGGAAAAGAAGAAGGGTGGTGGGGATCAGTGTTGAACATGACCATTTGTGAAATGGAAGAAATTCTACATCATTTAATATGGAGCTAAGATGAGTCTTGACTGAAGTGAAAATGAGTGCTTAAAAAAACAAAAATGTTTGGAAATATTTGTTTACTTTTAATTGGCTCAGTTTATTTATGAACCAGTAAGAATCAAAATGAAACTTGTATTATAGCTTATGTTATCAGCTAATTTTGAGACTGGTAACTTTGTCTGGTTATCTGCTTTCAAAATGCTTAATAACTCGAGGGGTAAAATAGTTACATGCAAATGGGACGTTGAGGCGAAGAGTGAAAACCAGGAACTGTTTTCTGGTTCCCCGAGCAGAGAATTATTTTCCCTTCTCTTAAAGAAACAAAACCAAAGCAACCTTTTCCTCTCCTTCACCCATCTCAAGTAGGGGAAATTGCTCCCCCAGGTCTCCTCTGAGCATCTGATGTTAGATAGAAGCTCCAGGAACCGAGGGGTTACACTTAGGCTCTCACTGACTCCACAGGAGTGAGGCCTCTGTTAGCTGTAAGTTGCTGCTTTATTCTTCCTGACTGGGCCATCCAATGTGTGACCTTGTAGTCCCTCCTGGAACTCTAGAATCAGCATATTTAAATGTGTTTGAAGTCTGGAGTCTTCCCTATGGCTTTAGGGAAAACTGTCAGTGTTAGATAGAAGGCCCCTGGAGAGGCATGTATATAGAACTCTGCAAATGCAAGACTCTGAGGGACCAATTCCACCTTACCAGTGGGAAGGCATCAATGACCTGCCTCTTTCACGCAAAAGTTGACCTTATGAGTGTATGAAGTAAGGGACCATGTGAGAATCTGGGTCCTCCCTGGACAAGCATGTTTCCCTTGCCTGTTATAGTGCCTGGAATTCTCAGAATTAGTCCTTTAGGTTTAATTCATCAATAGCCATTTCCAAGGAGTCTTGGGCATTGAGAGAATGGGAAAAAGATTGCTAAACTTTGATGGTAGAGGGATGGCTGGCGGGAGAGGGACTAGCATCGTGGAATGCTGCTGTGGCCTAGGATGTTGCATGTGGTTCCAAGAGCATGAAGCTTCTGTGTTCCTAGATGCCCAGAGTGGTGGAGGAGTGGAAGGGATGGCAGAGGGAGGGCAAAGAAGAGAAAGTGGGTGGGTGCTGAAGTCAAACATTTTTCTTTTCTTGGGATTTGCTAACCCTTTGGTCCTTGGACCTCAATTTCTGATAACTTCCAAGCCAAGCACGCTGTACACCCCTTTTCAGGTGAGACTCTACAGCATCCTTGGGAGAGTTGAGAAATGAGATGCCAGTACTCATAGCTTAAAACACTGTAAAGTGTTTTTTTTTACTCCTGTCTTTAAGCAGGTCCCTGCCCACCTCTCTTCAGGGCAGTCATATGGAGGCTTGCACAGCCTATGGTGTGGGTCTCACCTGGAAGCTGTTTGCTGAGAATTAAGGTTGACTCTAGGAACCTATGGGGTCCAGCTCCAGATTTGCAGCAAAACTTGGGAATGACAAGCATTTCAGACTTGCCCTGATAAGGGGTCGAGGTTGCGATGGGGAAAAAGGTACTGAAGGCCCTAGAGGCACCCTGACTTCAGCTCTCCTGAGTGTTACATATCTTCAGGTTTAGATCTATGTATGTTAGTAGGAAAAATGAGAAAAAGAGAAACCCTGCTTCTCAGTGGTGTCATGGATTGAATTGTGTTCCCCCAAAATATGTGTCAACTTGGCTAGGCCATGATTCCCAGTATTGTGTGAGTGTCCATCATTTCGTCGTCTGATATGATTATCCTGTGTGTTGTACATCCTACTTCTGACGTTAATGGGGCAGGATTAGAAGCAGTTATGTTAATGAGGCAGGACTCAATCTACAACATTAGGTTTTGTCTTAAACCAATCTCTTTTGAGATATAAAAGACAAAAGCAAGTAGAGAGACATGGGGACCTCATATCACGAAGAAACAAGAGCCAGGAGAATAGCATGTCCTTTGGACCTGGGGTCCCTCTGCTCAGAAGCTCCTTAATCGAGGAAGTTTGATGACAAGGACTGTCCTCCCAGAGCCAACAGAGAGAGTAAGCCTTCCCCTGGAGCTGGCACCCTGAATTCGGACCTCTAGCTTCCTAGACTGTGAGAGAATGAAATTCTGTTTGTTGAAACCATCCACTTGTGGTATTTCTGTTATAGCCGCACTAGATAACTAAGACAGTGGTTTCTAGTATAAAATCTAGAAGATGTAATGGATCAACCTGCACATTAGCAGTGAACTTATATTTTTTTTTTTTTTTAAGATAGAGAAATTTACTTCTTCACAGTAAAGTAGGCTAAAAGTCCAAATTCTGTGCATCAGCACCAGAGGAAGTCTTTCCCTCTCTGTTGGCCTTCTTCTCTTCAGTGTTGCCCTAGACTAGGAGCTTCTCTGTTCAGGGACCCCGGTCCAAAGGACTCACTCTGCTCCCAGCAGTGCTTTCTTGGTGGTATGAGGTCCCACTGTCCTCAGTGAACTTATTTTTGATGAACAATTCACTTGAGCTGAGGACATTAATTTATTTGACTGGGGTTTTATCAATAACTCTTTCAAAAAGTACTAGGCCCCTGTATAAGCCAACACTACAATAAGGCAAAGCATTACATTATGTTTTCTATGTCTGCGTGACTTAATCCAACAACTAAAATGTCAGATCTCATTTTACTTACATTACATGTGTCTTTTCCACCTTTGGGGCTTCCGGCACAAATCATATTCAGTCCAATCACAGGATTATAGTTATAGTGCTTTTGATCATTGCAGGTTTTTCTGTCTATGACAGTGATATTGACTTCTCTCAGAGTATCTGAAGGCTGAGGTGAATTATTGTGAACCTTCCCCCACCCTGCAACTCGACACACTGTTCCTGGCTTCACATCCTCCCCTTTTTTAGGTAGCGGAAGGATTGCCACATTTTTATTAAGTTTTGCTTGTTTATTCAGCTGTTGAGAGGCAAGAATAAAGAGTTAAGAGAATGAGATAATTAAAATACACATTTCTACTTACATTCTAGTCCAACCCTCAGGGACCCCCTTATTTGAGTCTGTAGCTAATAGGGGCACTATGGAAAGGTTTCCATTTAGGGGGTCAGATTGTAGGATATCCTATGGTTTTTAAGAAGACAATCAAAGGTACATACCAGTACAAGTTTAAGATCACTCTCATGTGTGTCTGGGTCATAGCATGGATAGGGAATCTGTTTCTTAATGGACATAATTTGGTTTTCTGGCTCAGTTTTGCCTATTGCGTGAGCTCCAAGAATGACCTGGGTTCCTTTGTCCCTGAAACAGACACAACATTACTTAACTGGGCTTACTGTTTTAATCAGGAGATGAACATATTATGTACTAATCAATTTCAATGTCCCATTTGTAAATATGGTTGTTGTGAAGATATTTCTCTGTAGCTCAGGGAAAACAAAAAACAAAAAAACAAAAACTGTGTGCTTTAAAGAATAAAAAAGTAAGATGTTTATGAATTTCATCCTTATTACCAGCTTATTGATAACAAACTAAACTAAGTTCATTGAAAAACAAATAATCAGACTCCACCACAGCTAAGCCAAGTCTTGGGATCTCTGTTGGGGCTTTAGGCTGTCCCTCTTTAGCTGTAATAGAGAATTATGCTGCAAATGACTGTAAAACAAAGGCCTCAGTGGTCTGGAGACAGATGAAAAAGACCCCTGGGCAGGTGTGATAGTTGTGGAGTAATGGACGGAGGGGATCTTTGTAAGAGAACAACAAACTTACCTTCAATGGGAAAACTTTCCGAAGTAGACTGCCCAGTGAAGGACTTTATTTGCATGGCATTGAGAGTGTGTGTGGGGGATGGTGGCCTGAAGTAAGGACCCAGGAGTTTCCCCTTATCTTATTCCATGCTAAAGGTTCATTTTTGTTAACAAAATCAAAATACTCTCGGAAGAATTAAAGCTATCATCATTCCCATCCTAGCATAAAATGCACCAACCAGCTCTTCATGCTGCGATTTTCCAGAGCATCAGCAGAGTTCAGTCTCACTTTAGACTTTAGAGCAGTGTTTTCCAGTAGAGCATACTTTGGTGATGAAATATTCTGTACATCTACACTGTCCACTATGGCAGCCACTCGCCACACTGAGTGGCTACTGAGCACTTGAAATGGGGTTAGGGTGACTGAGGAGCTCAATTTATAGTTTTATTTAACTTTAATTCATTTACATTTATGTAGCCACATGTGGCTATTGGCTACCGTATTGGATAGCCTAGGATTAGAGGTTTGATTCTAATCCTGGGCTATCCAATACGAGTGGAGAAAAGACCAGGCCTGGAAGAGAGCTGAAGGGAGTGGTGGAGAGGGTTTAAGAGACGGCTGAAGGAGTAAGAGAAGTTTCCTAAGGGAGACAGGAAGGCATTCCAAACAAGCAACTTGACAGTTGTGCCCAGGCCCCTGAGGGGCACTGAAAGTCTTTGCCTATCATGCTGTGGTAAATTCTATGGGTCATGCAGTCATGACCAGAAGCAAAACCTCACAGCACCTATACAGAGTCTCTCGCCAAGACCTACAGAAAGAGTTGTGGATGTTGCTTCCTCATTGGCCTCCCTGTCGAGTTAAGGCAAAAGGTTTATGCTCAACCGCTAACCTAAAAGTTGGCAGTTCGAACCCACTCAGTGGCACCATGGAAGAAAGTCTTGGCAATCTACTTCCGTAAAGATTATAGCCAAGAAAACCTATGGAGCGGTTCTACTCTTAACACATGGGGTCACCATGAGTTGGATGGAATCAACTCGATGGCTATGAGTTTTTGGTTTGCTTTGGGGGGAGGGCAAAGTTCCAGAAATTTAAGGGATACGAAAATACACATGAGCCTCCTGTGGTTTTAGTGGGATAAATATCTCTATTAATATCACCAAAAATTAGAATAGATACACAAATATTTTTTTAAACCAAAGCACTTACAGGTTACAGTGAGCTGCAGTCAACACCCAGTTTTTTGCAATCAAAGCCCCACCACATGTTTCTTTTCCTTTAATAAAGACCATGTATGGTCTTGAATGAGGATGCACTTGATTTCCTCCAATGATTTTAGCACAGAAATCTGTTAAATAGAAAAAAGCAATTCAGGTTAATACTCACTCAAAGAGCTCTACATAAAGTCATGTTTCTAAGGCCAGCCACAGTTTTCCCAGGTGGAGAGAAAGCATGGGTGAGAGCATTTTTTCCTGCTGTTACTCAATGTAGACCTTAGACACCTGAATGAAAATCCCATTCCTGCTGGACTTTCTGAAAGGGTCCCGTTCTTTCACCCACAGAAGCCATGTCACTGGCCATCCTAGGGATTATTAGATTGGAAATCTGTCAGCTATCACCATCCCCAGGCCTCAGGTCTGGCAAAGGACAGAGAGCTGTGCCTTGGTCTACACCAGTAACAGTTGTTACAGGAGATGCTGGAGGTGATGGAAACCCTGAGCATCCCAAACCCTGTCTTGTGAGTATTAATCTGGGGAGCAGAGTGCTTTTAGAAGCCTGAGAACTTCCCTTGTCACCCAAAGCCCTTGCAAAAAGTATCTTATGAGCTGATAATAGCACCTTTTAGCTGTGACCCAATGCATGAGTTCTTTGGTCATTGGAGACTTCTGGTTATTGAACTTCGCACTGTCCTCATTCATAAACTGAGAGAATGACATCTGTTGCACCTGAGGCTGTCCTTTAATCTCCAGACTGAAACTCATGGTTTAATCTAAGGTCTTTTCCAATGAGGTAGGGGAAGGGAGAAGATGCTGCAGAGATTTCTACCTCAGTAAAATTTCTTTGATGGTATACTGAAAGTATATACCCATTATTAAAGAACAATAAGACTCAAACACAAGGCAAACCATATACATGCTGGCTGAGAGGACGTTGTGCCACTGTGATACGCTCGCAGTTCTTCACCTTCCTAGACCAGATGTTCCTGGATTCTCCTAAAATATCTCTCCTAAGTGTTGGCCGAGGCTCATAGTTGCTTGAATAAGGCACAATGCTTGCTATCCCATAATTAAAGCTAACTCACTACCAAATTCTCAGTAAGGTAGATAATATAGATATAGAAGCCTTTCAAAAGGTTGATGAGGGTGAGGATGAGGGGGAAGAGAATGACCACATGGGATCTCATTTCAAGAAGGGATTTGGGAAGGCAAAATTCTAGGCTCTAGAAATAAAAGGGCAAGGAAACCAAGAGAACGTCACCCAAATCCCAATTTTTCCTTGGGTGAATCATGTATAGATAGATCCCAAAGGTGTGTCTTTGGACCTTCTCTGCAGAAACCATAAACTCAATAAACTCAGCACTGAGCAGAATATTCTCTTTTGCAGAGTCCCATCTTTGGTGAGCACATATACCAACCTCAGAAACAGGCCCAACTTTCCTGCAATCAACCACTCCTAGAAGGGTCTGGGGCAGGGTTTAGAGCCAGTGGGAAGCTTTTAGAAAACTAACAATTCCTGGTCCCTATCAAGAATAAAATCAGAATCTTTCTAGGGCTGGGGCTGGGATGTCAGCATTTTTTTAAAAAAGCCCTCTAAATTATTCTAATGTGTAGGAGGATTGAGACCATTGGGCCAGAGTATCAACCTTTGCTTTTGTGTGTCTGTTCCCTTTATGGGCCCACAGCGCTCTCTTTGACCAAAGGAAGCAACGTGGAGCAGAGCAAGTTGCTTTTGTTTCCTTTGAAGAAAAGATACGATTGGAATTTTTATCTGCCCTGTTCTCACTGTTGTGGGAATTTAACATGCCTGAACATGGTCATACTATGACACATTTATAATATGCCCACCATTTTGTCCCAAATATCCGTCTTGTTATTTAAATTTTTTTTTATCTTCAGGTACAAGATAACCCAGTGAATTTTTCAGTAAATTCTCTGCTCACCCTTCTTACCTCCCAAAGCTGACAGACCAGGGAGAAAAACCGTGGCTGGTTCCATGTGGCTTGTCAGCCCAGTTCAGCCCAGTCCCAGAGTGATCCTCACTTCTGAGAAGGTTCTACAAAGAAAATCTAGAGCTATCCAGAGGCTATTACCCTTTCAGTGATAATGCCGTGAATTTTACAGCATTCCAAATCAGTGCACTTGGAGCTTACACAAAACGAGGAATATTAGTAACCATTTAGTACACCAAAGATGTGGCTTAATAAAAAAGATACTGTAGAGCTCCCAAAGAGTTGTTATGGGAACTTTCCCTAATGTATTCCCATAGAGACTGTAGCTTAGAGAGATCATTATAAAAATTTGAATCATTCCTGGTTCATTTTTGGTGTCTAGGTCATGTTGGTCTTAATTGTATTTAAAACATGTGCATTTTCTGCTGCAAAAAAAGGCTTAACTGTCTCAGCACTGCTATTCCTTTCCTAAAGGTACTATTAGTTTTCTCAACTCAAGGACCTTTCTTTTTTTAATTTTTTAATTTTAGTTTTAACTTTTTATTGTACTTCAGGTGAAGGTTTACAGAGCAAATAGTTTCTCATTAAACGGTGATACACATATTGTTTTATGACATTGGTTAACAACCCCACGAAAAAAACCTTCTCCCTTCTCGACCTTTTTTTTTTTTTGGTGAAAATATACATAGCCAAAGATACACCATTTCAAAAATTCTACACACACAGTTCAGTGTCATCGACTACGCTCTTCCAGTTGTGCTGCTATACTCACTTTAGATGAAGGTTTACGGAACAAAATAGTTTCTCATTAAACAGTTAGCACACATGTTGCCCTATGACAAAGGTTAACAACCCCACTACACGTCAACACTGTCCTTACTCAACCTTGGGTTCCCTATCACTAGCTTTCCTGTCCCCTTCTGCCTTCTAGTCCTTGTCTCTGGACTGCTGTGCCTCATTAGTCC